TTGTTTGACCATTATTTCGACAAGGACAGCTGTCTAGTCCTTCGGATGAGACGAAAAACCGAGGTCCCGTGTATACATTGGAATGCACGTAAAAGATCCCTTGGCAGTTGGAATTCGATATAAGAGTAGGCGATAGTGCCGCTGCCCGGGCAAAATTTCCCTCATAGCACTCTGTATGGCGTATGCCCGTTTTCATTAGCCCAGCATAGGAGCAGAACAGTAGGACGTTAAACCCCATTTCATTTCATTTGACCATTATGTCATAGGTCAATGTAGAAGTGTTAAGAAATTTGGAACCAAACATTCGATAACCAGCGCCTACTACCCACAAACGCATTGGTTAGATGAAAGAAAGAAGAAACTTTTAAAGACAAGATTGGTAAACGAGGAGACCAACAACTGGGATGAGCTGTTAGACGAAATGACATTTTCAATGGGAATACTAAATCAAGCCTCAGGCAAATCCACACCTTATAGGTCTATATGTTATGGGTGTAGAAAGAACTAACCAGGGAAATATAATTAATTTTACCCCAGGCATTACACCAACGAAATGAAATGAAATGAAATGGGGTTTAACGTCCTACTGTTCTGCTCCTAACCTGGGCTAATGAAGACGGGCATACGCCATACAGTGTGCTATGAGGGAAATTTTGCCCGGACAGCGGCACTACGTCCTACTCTTATATCGAATTCCAACTGCCAAGGGATCTTTTACGTGCACGCAATGTGTACACGGGACCTCGGTTTTTCGTCCCATCCGAACGACTAGACAGCTTTCCTTGTCAGCCCCTCCGTCCTGCATCACTGACAAGGGAGAACCACGCCGGAAAATCTGGATGAACTTTCTCGGCCAATGCAGGGATCGAATACCCGATCTCCAGGCTAGCGAGCTAGCGTCTTACCAACATAGCCTTCTTTAAAATACTATCGCATTTGTTTCCTTTCAAGGCATTAGATAGCACACTGTAGATCTAGCACCGTGTACTTTAGGGCTTTTAAACTGAGAAAGTATACATACTTAACTTTCAAATTATCGTTTGATAAATGCTAAAAATCATTTGTTTATTCATTAGATGAACCGTTTAATTTTTCGAGAGGCGTGGATAAATCAACGCCCCGTTTATTTATCTACAGTGTTTAACTATTAGATGAACCGTTTAATTTCCCAAGAAGCATTTAGCCAATCTGTTAAATTTTAGGTTGATTGTTATTAGATTATTAACAAATTAAGCAGGTATTAGAAAAGGTAAAACATTATTTTAAAAAATGCATACCCATAGATGTTCGCCATAATATTATCAATTAACAAAACGGTAATTCCCACATTAACACAATAAGCTACACAATACATCAAAAATCGACAAATTACATAACAGGTAATCGCCGTTTTACTAACGGTGTGCTCGATTGTCTTTGCCGCAAACACCTCTTTAACAAAATCACATCTGTTCATTTCGGATTGAGATTATTGGATTCTTTAATAAATGTATAAACATGCTATTGCCAGACACTTCAATTGTCATCAGTCCACTATTGTAAGGTTGGTGGAACGTGTTCGAGTTACTGGATCAACACGTGACCGTCAACGTCCTGACCCACAACGCGTTACAACCCAGGCTCAAGACCGCTACATCCGGGTCACTCATCTGCGTGACAGATTCCCCCCAGCGACTCGAACAGGTGCAGCAGTCGTCGGAAGACAAGGACCAGTAAGACGTCGTCTAAGAGAAGTAGGACTCCGTGCACGACGACCTTATGTTGGAGCTATCCTCGGGGATCATCACCGTCAGCGGCGTTTGATATGGGCTTAAGGACATCATACATGGAGAAGAGTAGACTGGCAAAGTGTGCTCTTCAGTGATGAGAGTGGCTTTCATCTTTATCACGTGTGTGGAGACGTCTTGGGGAACGTCTTGCAGACTGCTGCGTCTTCGAAACGAATCGATAGGGGGGGGGGGGGAAGTGTAATGGTGTGGGGAGGCTTCACATTTCATCTTCGGACCGCCCTACATATTTGCAGGGGTCGCGTTAATGCTGTAGCCTAGCGTGATGATGTCTTGCAACCAATTGTTGTTCCGATGTTTCGAGCGCACCCACAACTTCAGCACTTCCATAGGGATAATGCACGTCCGCATACCGCCCTTTTTAGTATGGACTACCTGGCTGCTAACAACATCAATATCTTGTACTGGCCAGCCATGTCTCCGGACATGGCACCGATAGAACATGTCTGGGATGAGATTGGACGCCGTCTGTATCTGAGACCACAGATGCTTTAGAAGCTGCTCTTGTCCCAGGCCTTCTTTCAAACATTGGTAAATTCCATGCGACGTCGCTGCACACATGCGTAAAAGCCCGTGGAGGACACACGCGCTACTGACATCTGTGTCGCACTTATGGTTTTGACCCCTCTGACTTTGTACCGATGATTACAGATTAAACATTTGTAAAGTGTACAAATGTGTTGTTATTGATGTGTTCCCATTTGAATATTGTTCACAATAAGAAGCAAAATAAACAAGATATGTTTACAGGATCATTTTGTTATACGAAAAACTAAGTTTTCCATGGCGCTCAGTAAATCAGAAGTGGACATTGAAAATATAGTGGTTAGAAGAGAGGAAAGCGAAAGAATGATACATGACCATGTAAGTATTATAATATATTAGCAATATCATAATAGCCTTGATTTACACATAATCTGGTGGTCATATTATGAATGGATCGATGTTAAATGGGTGGGTATCTAGAATGATTATGTACAGATAGATGTTAAATGGATAGAAAGTTTAATGTTGTGTACCAGTAGACATGGTTCTGATATGTAGAGCTACTACAGAGTATCAGTGTGGCTCGGAACAAATAAAGCTGATTTCAAAACGAGGAAATGAAATGGGGTTTAACGTCCTACTATTCTGCTCCTTTATTGGGCTAATGAAGACGGGCATACACGATACAGTGTGCTATGAGGGCAGTTTTGCCCGGGCAGCAGCACTATGGCCTACTCTTACACCGAATTCCAACTACCAAGAAATCTTTTACATGCATGCAAATGAATACACGGGACCTTAGTTTTTCGTCCCATCCGAACAACTAGACAACTATCCTTGTCAGCCCTCCGTCGGGTACCTCTGACAAGGGTGAACAACGTTGAAAAATCCCGATGAACTCTCTCGGCCAATGAGGGATAAAACATCCAGATTTTGCGGCGTGGTTCCCACTTGTCAGTGATGCAGGACGGAGGGCCTGCCAAGGACAGCTTCTAGTCGTTCGGATGGGACGAAAAACCGAGGTCCCGTATACATATTGGCGTGTACGTAAAGAATCCCTTGACAGTTGGAATTGGATATAAGAGTAGGCCGTAGTGCCGCTGTCGGGGCAAAACTTCCCCCATAGCACACTTTCATTTCATTTCATTTTACTAAAACGCGTCTTATTTTCTAAAACCTGGCAATAAAATCTAAACATTAAATCAGAAAAACTAACCCAACTGCATTAATGAACCTGTTGTCAGTGTTTGCACATCATACGTTAAAATAAACATTTGGTGGCAAAAGTGAACGACGACGCACAACTAAGCACATCGTTGATGTCTGAACACCGCAATTGAAATTGGATATATGTCAACAAAATTGAACACCTTGGGTAATTGGACTACTTTTAATCAGCTTTTGGTGGGACGCTTATAATAGAATGGGAAATTAAACGGTAGTAAATTAGACGATTATTATCAAAATTAAACCGAATGCTTTTATCCGATTTTTCAAACGAAAATTTGATATTCAATGTGTATAAAAAAAAAATAACGCTGAATACGCTGGACTGAATAGTATCGGTTTCCCAGTGACCCCTGCTGAACATACTGAATTTTGTTGTAAATTTAAAAGCATTCGACTCCCCCCTGCTTGATAAACATACACCCTTTGTGAGAAAGTACTTTTTCGATCTAGCAGATTTAGGTACAATAATTAACGTTTTTTAAGCAAAACAAGAACGCAGGCAAGTCGAACGAAATGGCACCGGTCACTGCAGTGGGTATATCACCAGAAAGAAGGTCTCCGAAACAAGAGGCAAGCCCAAGTCTGAATACTGTGTCCACAGACCATTTGTTTACGCGAATTGTACTTATTCAGGTGTGACAAGGCAAGTCAAACTGATAAGTCGCTAATATTGGCGCATATCGAAACGTAACTTCCTGACCTGATTGTACGAAAAGATTATAACATTTTTAGCTTGTGGACCCTATAGAGAGGTCCAAATTTTTTATCCTATTTGAAAACCATTCAAATATATCACCAATACACCATAATGACGGTAATGTTCGAATTTCATGAAAATCGGAGCGAAATGGCCGCTCCCTGTAAACAGATAGTAGGTAATACCAAGGCTGTGAAACCTCGACTAGAGATCATCCGATTTTGACGAAACTTGAAATATAGGTTTATATCATAAAGATCTCGGTTCCTTATGTAGCGGGTCTTAACTTCATGGATTATGGCGTATCGTGCATGGTAACAGCTTGTTACTGTTCTAATTTCATTTTTGCTTGGTGTGCATACTGGCGCCTTACATTTTGTCGTGGATTTTCCGACGTGGTTTCCCCTTGTCAGTGGTGCAGAACGGAGGGTCTGACAAGGACAGCTGTCTAGTCCTTCGAATGAGACGAAAAACCGAGGTCCCGTGTATACATTGGAATGCACGTAAAATATCCCTTGGCTGTTGGAATTCGATATAAGAGTAGGCGATAGTGCCGCTGCCCGGGCAAAATTTCCCTCATAGCACACTGTATGGCGTATGCCCGTCTTCATTAGCCCAGTATAGGAGCAGAACAGTTGGACGTTAAACCCCACCATTTCATTTCATTTTGTCGTGACTTCTACTTGCACGTTGTTATAAGTTTTCTATAAGCACCATCAAAAACAAACAACAAAATTCTTTTTTTTATTTTTAAAACAATAATTTATCCGGTGTAACAACACACTGCATACATGTCAGTTGGGTGGACGGCGCAAGAGGTCCCGTCTGGGCATCGAACACGTGATGGTCCGCGTCCACAAAACAACTGTTTGCTGTCAGCGTTTATGACTGGTAGATTTATTTTACAAGCACCTTGAGTTGTAGGGATGGCGGAGTCTGCAAAACGAAAGTAGATCAAATAAGTGAAATGGGGTTTAACGTCCTACTATTCTGCCCCGACTGTGCTAATGGGGACGGGCATACGTCATACAGTGGGCTATGAGGGAAATATCGAATTTCAACTGCAAAGTGTTCTTTTACGTACACGCCAATATGTACATGAGACCTCGGCTTTTTGTCCCATCCGAACGACTATACTACGTTGTATGCTCTGTCTCGTATTCACCTCTCCAACATAAATGTGTATTTGTTAGCTCGTTGCCCTGGAGGTCTGAGTTATTAAACCAGTGTTGAAATCTTTTAGTGTCGGCATACCTTTTATCTTTTCATCGTTTACCGTGAAACAAAGTACTGCAGCTTTACGGTTGTGCTAATATTTTTTGGATATGTATATCCGACACAAACCGATTTCAATACTGCTTTAATAACATTATAAAGTACTTTTCGCACGTCTTGGGACTATTCATAAATAATGTCATTGCATAGATGGAGAGAGAAATGGGGTTTAACGTCCAGTCGACACAAACTAGGTCATTTCGGGACTAACATATGGTTTTAATTTTATTTCAATAATTCGCTTGCGCGTAGGGGTCTTTAGCAGTGGGAGGACCCGGAGTAAACCCACGAGGTTGGACAGGCGACCCTACTCCTTGTCACGTACCACCGGGGATTCCAACCCCCCCGCATAGAGATGGACGCCAGACTATTTTTATACATATTTACATAGTAACACTGTGGTTCTAATTGTCTAAAGTTACACTGTATACCTACCAACACATGTTGGTGATGGTGGACATGGGGATGTAAAGCAGGAAACCTCCATTAAACGACAAGTTTTTCCTGGAGAACATTTCATAGTCTGTAGAGTATATTTACAAAATGATATGTTAGTAAAGCTACAAATTAATTTATGGTTTTTTTTAAAGAAAATCAGAACTCAACTTTTCCTGACCCACGCTCAGAAAACGACTGACCGTGACAAATAGGCATCTTACTTATATTGATCGAGGGGGGGGGGGCGAATGGTTAGCACGTGCGCACTGTATCATACGGCCTGTCATTGAGTCAACTGGCGGGGTTTAGAATACCCCGGTTTTATGTGACAAGGAGTAGGGTCGCCTGTCCAACCTCGTGGGGTTTCTCCGGGTTCTCTAAAAGACCCAAGTTTCTAAATCAACGGTATCAGCTTACCAGTGTAATGAATAATTTTTTAATTAAATTGTTACTCAAATAGTTTCAGCCATGTTCATTCCTAAGTACAAATGCTGTCCTCTATCATTATTAGTCTAAGTGTCGATCATGGTCTGTTGTTTGTGCTGTAATAGGTGTTTTTCTGTAATGGCCTAGGTGGCTGTTGTTGAATTCGCTAAGAAATTCGTTGGATAGAATAGTAGTATTATATAGCACGTGTCATGCAGTGTTTGTTTACAATGGATGACAGTTACCTTCATAACGACACAGCCGGTGTGTCAGTTTGGTAACTAACCACGATTTTCACGATCTATCATGGTTAGTGCTAAATGATAATGCCAGCTCAATTTTTCGTCAAAGCTCACGAGATGTAAACGGACCTAGCCCCAATGCTTACCCAAACCCTATTTACATCTCAGTGACCTTGACAAAAATTGAGCTGGCCTTATTTTTTAGATTTAGCCAGCTATCAGATATTGAAAATACCGACTTTTATCGTTTAGTTTAAAATTAGATTATACAATGTTATTTTTAGCGTGTTTTCATTGGCCATATAAAGCATATTAAGAGAAGGAAAATAAAAAAAATATATAAAGAACCTGTAACAGTTCATTCAGATTTTCCGGCGTGGTTTCCCCTTGTCAGTGATGCAGGATAGGGGGCCTGACTAGGACAGCTGTCTAGTCGTTCGGATGGGACGAAAAACTGAGGTCCCGTGTACACATTGGCGTGCACGTAAAAAATCCCTTGGCAGTTGGAATTCGATATAAGAGTAGGTCGTAGCGCCGCTGCCCGGGCAAAATAACCTCATAGCACACTGTTTGGCGTATGCCCGTCTTCATTAGCCCAGGTTAGGAGCAGAATAGTAGGACGTTAAACCCCATTTCATTTCATTTCATTTACCTGTAACAAATGGCTTTATTTGATTTCCTCGAGGTCCACTCGACACTAACTAGGTCATTTCGGGACTAACACATGGTTCAATTTTATGTCAATAATTCGCTTGCGGGAGGAAATCAAATAAGGCCAGCTGTTACAGGTAAATGAAATGAAATGAAATGGGGTTTAACGTCCTACTGTTCTGCTCCTAACCTGGGCTAATGAAGACGGGCATACGCCGGGGAATCGAAACCCCGCCACTTAACTCAATGACAGGCGGTATGATACAGGCGCGCACGTGCTAACTATTCGGCCATCCAACCCCCTGTTAAAATACAAGATAATGAATTAAATATATAGAATCTTACCGCACATGGGTCGCTAGCTTCAGTATATAGTACACTGACGCACAGGCACTGCAAAAATAAATATCATAAATGAAATTTAATTCACCATGAAATGAAATAAGATTAGATTGGATATTCATTCATCATTTCGCGTTCCTATCTCTGGGGCAAGTTACGACTACAAACCGATATGCGGCCAACCAAAAAACATATTTATTGATCTAAAATGTCAGAATAATTGATAAAAAAATTCTAGATCGTATATTGTACCGGGTCACCTCATCACTGTTATATCTATCCGATCTGACCTCAATTAGCAAGCACGTAGGTAGTATCAGCTATACTTGTTAAATCTACTGTTGGACATGATATTAGTGCACCGATGCCTGGCATCAATTAAATTTGCCTGTCCATGGGAAATATTCAGCTAAATATATAACTTTTTGGGTTAGAAAAATTGGCCTAATTAATGTTAAAGGAATCCGGCTTTAAAATAAAATATGGGATCAATTTTGGTTGGCTTTTAATTTGAGTGTCAATCAATGTACACAAAACTGCACCAAACTACCAAAAAACTTAAAGAATTCAAACCTCTTTGATTCGGGTCAAGATAGATTTGGTTACTTTATGCTTTTTAAGAGGAAGCAGTTTTATATACAAATTCCAGTTTCATTTTGTCGCTTACCGAGGAAATCAAATAAAGCCATTTGTTACAGGTAAATGAATTGAAATGAAATGAAATGGGGTTTAACGTCCCACTGTTCTGCTCCTAGCCTGGGCTAATGAAGACGGGCATACGCCATACAGTGTGCTATGAGGGCAATTTTGCCCGGATAGTGACACTACGGCCTACTCTTATATCGAATTCCAACTGCCAAGTGTACACGGCCTCGGTTTTTCTTCCCATCCGAACGACTAGACAGCTGTTTACATGGGTTTTAGCGATCTACTTTTGTGCACCAACTGGTACACAAAGTCGGCTAAATCACACCACATTATCTTTATCTTTTGACGTTCAAATGTTGTGTTATAGTGCAAAACAAATCAACCCATGGAATCTCGTAAATGCGGTTATTATAACTTTGTGATCTACATCAATGAAGTCTCTAGTCATTTTAACTACAATTCTGAAGACTTAGACATAAAATATACTTGCCATTAAGGTACATGCTAGAACTTTCATGTTGCTAACTCCTAAATTTTTAATCTGTATAGTTAGAGGTCAACTAGCGGAATAATCTTGTTTCGTCTGACGAACCATTTCAATGGTTTATACCGGTGTATGGAAACAACTTGGTGCCAATATTTGAAACATACGCAATTGACACTTTAAACATACATTATACAAGAGCAAAATCTGGCTATGGCAGGTCTTTCTTTAGGCCTGAAATGTTTTATAAACTATTAATTAGACATTTATTAATAAGAAAAGACCTTAATCAACTCTCGATGAAATCTTATGTGTTGGATTTTCACTGGATTTGAATCTGATGCTAACGCTCATTGATGATTAAATCCTAAAATGTTTTTATCGTACCGACTTAAAGTAGCTAAGTCTCTAACTCAATATCATCCAAAATCTTCGACATTGAAAATACGATTTATTTGTCAATTTAAATCAACATTGGTGTTGTGATCTTACCCGGAAAAGATGGCCTTCTGATATCCAATATTTAAGACAAAATAAACATTTTACAATTGGTACACGAATCGTGTACCATCATGCGTTTCAGCACTACTTGTAATAAAGGACTCGAAAAACGAGGCTAGGCATATTCCACAAGTCATGTCAAACAGTGACGCGATATTCTTATCTGGAGAGTATGTCCAATAAATACTATCGGCGTGGACTGGAATAACCAGACGCTAGAGATTGAAATTCGATTGAGAATACTGGCGTATTTCGCCGAACCTAACTGATTAGAAGTTACAGTAAAAACAGAAACGATTGAATGTAAATCAATTTATATACATTCATATTACATAATTGTATGCGTTGCGACCCATTTGTGTCAATTTCTAGGTCCCAAATATTAGCGACTTAGCTCCTTTAAGTAATGATAATCGAGGCTAGGTTTAAAATTCAATAGTTAATATCTCGGTTCAGAGTAGATCAATTTGACTGAAATTTTCAGCATATTCTCTTTACATTATCTAGATTTTAACTATTATAGTGGGACCTGCCAGCTCTTTATCTAATCTCCCATAATGTATCTTTAAAGAAAATGGTATAGGTTATGGTATTATTATAGTATATGTTAACTGTATACGTACCAACACATGTTGGTGATGGTGGACAGGGCGCTGTAAAACAGGCAACCTTCATCAAGCGACAGGTGTTTCCTAGAAAGCATTTTACATTCTGTAAGAAGAAATCATAAAAAGAAACTACTACTGTATATTACACAAAGAGAAAATAACTATAGAGTAATGCAGGGGGTGCTGTTTGAATGGCATTTAGTAATTGAACACATTAAAATAAACACAACAGTTTTATGGATAACAATTACTGTATTTCTATAAAGCTACGTTTCAACAATAATTCTCTTGTCGTTATCAAGCACATTTTAATACAGACAGAAGGAACGAATATACTATGTACAATCAAATGTCACTGTTCTCCTAATTTATGGTTTCATTGAATGTTTTGATTGTACATAGTATTTATATTTCGTTCCTTCTGTCTGTATTAGTATTATTTTAATGCAGGAGGTCGCATTACACAAGACCAAAACGTATTAGACAATCCGAGTTCATTTGTTACTACAGTAAGTGGTGTGGCAAATGCTCCATTGCTGAAAATATTGCGTCGCTGCTTTGTAAAACAACAGGCCCCAAGTTCACAAAGCATTCTCAGACTTAAGTTACGAATTTACTCAAAATTGTTTGCCGTATTTTAAATAAATTATAGCCCTTTATCAATCTTTTGTTCATCAATAAGAAACTATGTGTAAAGTTTTTTGTTTCTAGACCAAAGATATTTCTCATACCCAGTGATTGGAAGTTGGGTAAATTCTTGACTTAAGTCTGAGAATGCTTTGTGAACTCGGGGCCCGAGAAGCAGTGGGGCAATACCGATGGTGTCAACCTAATGTTAGTCCCGAAATGAACTGGTTTGTATCATGTGGACGTTAAGCCCCTCTCTCTCTCTCTCGCTCGCTCGCTCGCTCTCTCTCTCTCTCTCTCTCTCCTATATATTTGTTTTTATTTATGTATGTTTGGCGTATTATAGCCCCGTTGGAGCTCACGTGCCATATTATTTCATTTCATTACATTTCTAACTTTGTATGGTTTGTTAAATGTTGTCAAATGGTATAAACTATCTGTCTTTGCTATTTTTACAGATATATTTCTGTGAACCCTAATGGATTGTATTTTCATTTAACGTGGACATGTTATGATCACACTTTATGGAACAAATGAAGACACTTTCTATTGTGTGTGTGTTTGGGGGGGGGGGGGGGGTGGATGGCCGAATGGTTAGCCCGCGCGCGCTGTACCGTACGGTCTGTCATTGAGTCAACTGGCGGGATTTCGATTCCCCGGTTGTACGTGACAAGGAGTAGGTTCGCCTGTCCAACCTCGTGGGTTTTTTCAGGGTCCTCCGGTTTCCTCCCACTGCTAAAGACCCCTACGCGCAAGCGAATTATTGAATTAAAATTAAACCATATGTTAGTCCCGAAATGACCTAGTTTGTGTCGAGTGGACGTTAAACCCCTTTTCTTTCTCTCTTTCTCTTCTATTGTAGGAATTTTCCGAATTGCTGGAGCCGCGTGCTAATGCTAAATTTAGTCGATTTTTTTTCAGATAACGATGCACAATTTTAATTATTTATTTTTATAGTACGTTTGTATTAGTATTATTTGTCCCACTTTTCATATTCGTTTTAGTGTTCCATTTTACCTGTGTTCATTATAATAAAATATAGTAAAATCGGTTCTTAATGGGGAATTAAATTTAAATTCCAAACAAACTAGTACTTGAATGAATGAATGAATGAAATGGAGTTTAGAGGGAGATAGAGAGAGAAATGGGGTAATTTCGGGACTAACATATGGTTTTTAATTTTATTTCAATAATTCGCTTGCGCGTAGGGGTCTTTAGCAGGGGGAGGAAACCGGAGGACCCGGAGAAAACCCACGAGGTTGGAGAAATGGAGTTTAACGATTCTGCACCGACTTGGCTAATGGAGACGGGTATACGCCATGCAGTATGCTATGAAGGAAATTTTTCCTGGACAGCGGCGCTACGGTCGACTCTTATATCGCGAATTCCAACTGCCAAGGGTATCAATGCTGTGGGATTTGGATTTACTCTTCGCATTGCTATCGAATTGCAATTGGCAAGGTATCTTTTAGATGTACGTCAATGGGGTGTCGGTTTTCGTCCCATCCGAACGACTAGACACTGGTCCTCCGTCGAGTAACTTTCTCGGCCAATACCGTGACAACTGATAGTCCTACCCGTTGACATTTTGATAAGTAATTTTAATATCATGTGTCACATTCACACACATAGTACACCCAATCTCTTATTCACAAATATAAAATCGAACAAATGTCATAATCTCAAACTAGTGAAATTATTCTTTCCCAATTAGAGATACATATTCCCGTATTTCCCTCACACTTAAAAAAAAGGGTTTTTTTTTGATAAATTGTACATAGGCGCCCCACCGAAGAAAACCCAATCACCGATCAGAGCTGTTTTAAAGTCACATGATAACTGCCCCCTGGCCGTGATATATGTAAAGCTTTAATGAATGAAATGTGGTTTAATGGCGCGTCATATTGCGCCAAACATATTGCGATTCTTTCGAGACGAGCTAAATCATATCACAGAATTTTATATGCAGTCCTTCGTTAGTCTAATTGCCCATTCAGACGCTTATTTTTAAATAAGTTCATTCATAATCGCTGGGTTATTTTTAAGACAGCATCGTGTTGCGTTCACACGTACTATAAGCCAAACCAGTTTAACTATTCAGACCTCTTCGGTCGGAGGTTAGAGTTAACTACGTATGGGTAGCTTCATATTCTTTATTCGGTTCTCGCACGTTTTTGATAACAT